AGGGTACCAGCGTGCTCACAGGTAGTGCACTAGTGAAGAGAGAGAGGGGGGATATCTGAGGGTACCAGCGTGCTCACAGGTAGTGCACTAGTGGAGAGAGAGGGGATATCTGAGGGTACCAGCGTGCTCACAGCTAGTGCACTAGCGGAGAGAAAGAGGGGGGATATCTGAGGGTACCAGCGTGCCCACAGGTAGTGCACTAGCGGAGAGAGAGAGGGGGGGATATCTGAGGGTACCAGCGTGCTCACAGGTAGTGCACTAGTGGAGAGAGAGGGGGGGGGGATATCTGAGGGTACCAGCGTGCCCACAGGTAGCGCTAGTGGAGAGAGAGAGGGGGGGATATCTGAGGGTACCAGCGTGCCCACAGGTAGTGCGCTAGTGGAGAGAGAGAGGGGGGGGATATCTGAGGGTACCAGCGTGCTCACAGGTATCGCGCTAGTGGAGAGAGAGGGGGGGGGGGATATCTGAGGGTACCAGCGTGCTCACAGGTAGTGCACTAGTGGAGAGAGAGAGAGGGGGGATATCTGAGGGTACCAGCGTGCTCACAGGTAGTGCACTAGTGGAGAGAGAGAGGGGGGGGATATCTGAGGGTACCAGCGTGCTCACAGGTAGTGCACTAGCGGAGAGAGGGGGGATATCTGAGGGTACCAGCGTGCCCACGGGTAGTGCACTAGCGGAGAGAGAGAGGGGGGATATCTGAGGGTACCAGCGTGCACTAGTGGAGAGAGAGAGGGGGGATATCTGAGGGTACCAGCGTGCTCACGGGTAGTGCACTAGTGGAGAGAGATGGGGGGGATATCTGAGGGTACCAGCGTGCTCACAGGTAGTGCACTAGTGGAGAGAGAGAGAGGGGATATCTGAGGGTACCAGCGTGCTCACAGGTAGTGCACTAGTGGAGAGAGAGAGGGGGGATATCTGAGGGTACCAGCGTGCTCACAGGTAGTGCACTAGTGGAGAGAGAGAGAGGGGGGGGATATCTGAGGGTACCAGCGTGCTCACAGGTAGTGCACTAGTGGAGAGAGAGGGGGGGATATCTGAGGGTACCAGCGTGCTCACAGGTAGTGCACTAGTGGAGAGAGAGAGGGGGGATATCTGAGGGTACCAGCGTACCCACAGGTAGTGCACTAGTGGAGAGAGAGAGGGGGGATATCTGAGGGTACCAGCGTGCTCACAGGTAGTGCACTGGCGGAGAGAGAGAGGGCGGATATCTGAGGGTACCAGCGTGCTCACAGGTAGTGCACTAGTGGAGAGAGAGAGAGGGGGGGATATCTGAGGGTACCAGCGTGCTCACAGGTAGTGCACTAGTGGAGAGAGAGAGGGGAGGGGATATCTGAGGGTACCAGCGTGCCCATAGATAGTGCACTAGTGGAGAGGGAGAGGGCGGATATCTGAGGGTACCAGCGTGCTCACAGGTAGTGCACTAGTGGAGAGAGAGAGAGAAGGGGGATATCTGAGGGTACCAGCGTGCCCACAGCTAGTGCACTAGCGGAGAGAGAGAGAGAAGGGGGATATCTGAGGGTACCAGCGTGCTCACAGGTAGTGCACTAGCGGACAGAGAGAGAGAGGGGGGATATCTGAGGGTACCAGCGTGCTCACAGGTAGTGCACTAGTGGAGAGAGAGAGAGGGGGGATATCTGAGGGTACCAGCGTGCTCACAGGTAGTGCACTAGTGGAGAGAGAGAGGGGGGATATCTGAGGGTACCAGCGTGCTCACAGCTAGTGCACTAGCGGAGAGAGAGAGAGAAGGGGGATATCTGAGGGTACCAGCGTGCTCACAGCTAGTGCACTAGCGGGGAGAGAGAGAGGGGGGATATCTGAGGGTACCAGCGTGCTCACAGGTAGTGCACTAGTGGAGAGAGAGAGGGGGGATATCTGAGGGTACCAGCGTGCCTACAGGTAGCGCACTAGTGGAGAGAGAGAGGGGGGATCTCTAAGGGTACCAGCGTACCCACAGGTAGTGCACTAGTGGAGAGAGAGAGGGGGGATATCTGAGGGTACCAGCGTACTTACAGCTAGCGCTAGTGGAGAGAGAGAGGGGGGGGATATCTGAGGGTACCAGCGTGCCCACAGCTAGTGCACTAGCGGAGAGAGGGGGGTTGTCTGGGGGTACCAGCGTGCCCACAGGTAGTGCACTAGTGGAGAGAGAGAGAGGGGGGATATCTGAGGGTACCAGCGTGCTCACAGGTAGTGCACTAGTGGAGAGAGAGAGGGGGGATATCTGAGGGTACCAGCGTGCCCATAGATAGTGTGCTAGTGGAGAGAGGGAGAGGGGGGATATCTGAGGGTACCAGTGTGCTCACAGGTAGCGCTAGTGGAGAGAGGGAGAGGGGGGATATCTGAGGGTACCAGCGTGCTCACAGGTAGTGCACTAGTGGAGAGAGAGAGGGGGGGTATCTGAGGGTACCAGCGTGCCCACGGGTAGTGCACTAGCGGAGAGAGAGAGGGGGGATATCTGAGGGTACCAGCGTGCCCACAGGTAGCGCTAGTGGAGAGAGAGAGAGGGGATATCTGGGGGTACCAGCGTGCTCACAGGTAGCGCGCTAGCGGAGAGAGAGGGGGGGTTTATGGGGGTACCAGCGTGCTCACAGGTAGTGCACTAGTGGAGAGAGAGGGGGGGTTTATGGGGGTACCCGCAGGTTCTTGGGGGTGCCTGGGGGCTACCTGGGGGTACCAGCTTGCTCGCAGGTAGTGCGCTACCAGGGGGAGGTGGGTCACAGGGGGTGCCTGGGGGTCCCTGAGAGCACCAGTGAGATACCAGCGTGCCAACAGGTAGCGCGCTACCAGGGGGAGGTGGGTCACAGGGGGTACCTGGGGGTCCCTGAGAGTACCAGTGAGATACCAGCCTGCCAACAGGTAGCGCGCTGCCGGAGTGGTGGGTGAGCATCCGTGTGATGCCTGTGTGTGTGTGACACCTGTGTGTGTGAGACGCCTGTGTGTGTGACACCTGTGTGTGTGTGACACCTGTGTGTGTGTGTGACGCCTGTGTGTGTGACGCCTGTGTGAGTGTGTGTGATGCCTGTGTGTGTGTGTGACACCTGTGTATGTGTGTGATGCCTGTGTGTGTGTGACACCTGTGTGTGTGTGTGAGACGCGTGTGTGTGTGACGCCTGTGTATGTGTGATGCCTGTGTGTGTGTGTGATGCCTGTGTGTGTGTGACACCTGTGTGTGTGTGTGACACCTGTGTGTGTGTGTGAGACGCCTGTGTGTGTGTGTGTGATGCCTGTGTGTGTGTGACGCCTGTGTGTGTGTGTGACGCCTGTGTGTGTGAGACGCCTGTGTGTGTCACACCTGTGTGTGTGTGTGATGCCTGTGTGTGTGACGCCTGTGTGTGTGTGATGCCTGTCTGTGTGTGTGACGCCTGTGTGTGTGTGACGCCTGTGTGTGTGTGTGACGCCTGTGTGTGTGTGTGTGTGACGCCTGTGTGTGTGTGAGACACCTGTGTGTGTGTGTCACACCTGTGTGTGTGATGCCTGTGTGTGTGATGCCTGTGTGTGTGTGATGCCTGTGTGTGTGTGACGCCTGTGTGTGTGTGATGCCTGTGTTTGTGATGCCTGTGTGAGTGTGTGTGACACCTGTGTGAGTGTGTGTGATGCCTGTGTGTGTGTGTGATGCCTGTGTGTGTGTGTGACGCCTGTGTGTGTGAGACGCCTGTGTGTGTGTGATGCCTGTGTGTGTGTGACGCCTGTGTGTGTGTGACGCCTGTGTGTTTGTGTGACGCCTGTGTGTGTGTGTGATGCCTGTGTGTGTGTGTGACACCTGTGTGTGTGTGAGACGCCTGTGTGTGTGTGTCACACCTGTGTGTGTGTGATGCCTGTGTGTGTGACGCCTGTGTGTGTGACGCCTGTGTGTGACGCCTGTGTTTGTGTGATACCTGTGTGTGTGTGACGCCTGTGTGTGTGTGACGCCTGTGTGTGTGTGTGTGACACCTGTGTGTGATGCCTGTGTGTGTGTGTGATGCCTGTGTGCGTGTGTGATGCCTGTGTGTGTGTGACGCCTGTGTGTGTGTGATGCCTGTGTGTGTGATGCCTGTGTGAGTGTGTGTGACGCCTGTGTGAGTGTGTGTGACGCCTGTGTGAGTGTGTGTGATGCCTGTGTGTGTGTGATGCCTGTGTGTGTGATGCCTGTGTGTGTGTGTGACGCCTGTGTGTGTGAGACGCCTGTGTGTGTGTGTGTGACGCCTGTGTGTTTGTGTGACGCCTGTGTGTGTGTGTGACGCCTGTGTGTGTGTGTGACGCCTGTGTGTGTGTGACGCCTGTGTGTGTGTGTGTGTGACGCCTGTGTGTGTGTGTGACGCGTGTGTGTGTGTGTGTGACGCCTGTGTGTGTGTGTGACGCCTGTGTGTGTGTGTGACGCCTGTGTGTGTGTGTGATGCCTGTGTGTGTGTGTGACACCTGTGTGTGTGTGTGATGCCTGTGTGTGTGATGCCTGTGTGTGTGTGATGCCTGTGTGTGTGATGCCTGTGTGTGTGAGTGTGTGTGATGCCTGTGTGTGTGACGCCTGTGTGTGTGACGCCTGTGTGTGTGACGCCTGTGTGTGTGTGACGCCTGTGTGTGTGAGTGACGCCTGTGTGTGTGTGACGCCTGTGTGTGTGTGACACCTGTGTGTGTGTGTAACGCCTGTGTGTGTGACGCCTGTGTGTGTGTGACGCCTGTGTGTGTGACGCCTGTGTGTGTGTGGCCTGTGTGTGTGTAACGCCTGTGTGTGTGACGCCTGTGTGTGTGTGACACCTGTGTGTGTGTGATGCCTGTGTGTGTGACGCCTGTGTGTGTGTGTGACACCTGTGTGTGTGTGTGACACCTGTGTGTGTGTGTGACACCTGTGTGTGTCACACCTGTGTGTGTGTGTGTAACACCTGTGTGTGTGTGTGTGACACCTGTGTATGTGTCACACCTGTGTGTGTGACGCCTGTGTGTGTGTGTGTGACACCTGTGTGTGTGTGTGTGTGTGTGTGACGCCTGTGTGTGTGTGTGACGCCTGTGTGTGTGTGTGACGCCCGTAGGTGCGGGCGCTGCAAGCGTGCCGCGCCGTGCGACGCCCAGCGGGGTCTGTGTGACACCTGTGTGTGTGTGTGACGCCTGTGTGTGTGTGTGACGCCTTTGTGTGTGTGACGCCTGTATGTGTGATGTGTGTGTGTGACACCTGTGTGTGTGTGTGACGCCTGTATGTGTGATGTGTGTGTGTGTCACACCTGTGTGTGTGTGTGACGCCTGTGTGTGTGTGTGTGTGACGCCTCTCTGTGTGTGTGTGTGACGCCTGTGTGTGTGTGTGACACCTGTGTGTGTGTGACACCTGTGTGTGTGTGTGACGCCTGTGTGTGTGTGTGACGCCTTTGTGTGTGTGTGACGCCTGTGTGTGTGTGTGTGTGACACCTGTGTGTGTGTGACACCTGTGTGTGTGTGTGACACCTGTGTGTGTGTGTGACACCTGTGTGTGTGTGTGTGACACCTGTGTGTGTGTGTGACACCTGTGTGTGTGTGTGACGCCTGTGTGTGTGTGTGTGTGACGCCTGTGTGTGTGTGACGCCCGTAGGTGCGGGCGCTGCAAGCGTGCCGCGCCGTGCGACGCCCAGCGCGGTCTGTGTGACGCCTGTGTGTGTGTGACGCCTTTGTGTGTGTGTGACGCCTCTCTGTGTGTGTGTGTGACGCCTGTGTGTGTGTGTGACGCCTGTGTGTGATGTGTGTGTGTGACACCTGTGTGTGTGTGTGTGACACCTGTGTGTGTGTCACAACTGTGTGTGTGTGTGACACCTGTGTGTGTGTGTGACGCCTGTGTGTGTGTGTGACACCTGTGTGTGTGTGTGTGACACCTGTGTGTGTGTGTGACGCCTGTGTGTGTGTGTGTGTGTGACACCTGTGTGTGTGTGTGTGACACCTGTGTGTGTGTCACAACTGTGTGTGTGTGTGACACCTGTGTGTGTGTGTGATGCCTGTATGTGTGATGTGTGTGTGTGACGCCTGTGTGTGTGTGTGTGACACGTGTGTGTGTGTGTGACACCTGTGTGTGTGTGTGACGCCTCTCTGTGTGTGTGTCACACCTGTGTGTGTGTGTGTGACACCTGTGTGTGTGTCACACCTGTGTGTGTGACGCCTGTGTGTGTGTGTGTGACACCTGTGTGTGTGTGTGTGACGCCTGTGTGTGTGTGTGACGCCTGTGTGTGTGTGTGTGTGACGCCTGTGTGTGTGTGTGTGACGCCTGTGTGTGTGTGTGTGACGCCTGTGTGTGTGTGTGTGACGCCTCTCTGTGTGTGTGTGTGTGTGACGCCCGTAGGTGCGGGCGCTGCAAGCGTGCCGCGCCGTGCGACGCCCAGCGGGGTCTGTGTGACGCCTGTGTGTGTGTGACGCCTCTCTGTGTGTGTGTGTGTGTGACACCTGTGTGTGTGTCACACCTGTGTGTGTGACGCCTCTCTGTGTGTCTGTGTGACGCCTGTGTGTGTGTGTGTGTGACGCCTGTGTGTGTGTGTGACACCTGTGTGTGTGTGTGACGCCTGTGTGTGTGTGACACCTGTGTGTGTGTGTGTGACGCCTGTGTGTGTGTGACGCCTGTGTGTGTGTGTGTGTGACGCCTGTGTGTGTGTGTGTGACGCCTGTGTGTGTGTGTGACGCCTGTGTGTGTGTGTGTGTGTCACAACTGTGTGTGTGTGTGACACCTGTGTGTGTGTCACAACTGTGTGTGTGTGTGACACCTGTGTGTGTGTCACACTTGTGTGTGTGTGTGTGACGCCTGTGTGTGTGACGCCTGTGTGTGTGTGTGACGCCCGTAGGTGCGGGCGCTGCAAGCGTGCCGCGCCGTGCGACGCCCAGCGGGGTCTGTGTGACGCCTGTGTGCCGGGCTGGCGGGGCGAGCGATGTGTGGAGCGCTGTGCCACCGGCTGGTTTGGCGAGGGCTGCGCCCACCCCTGCCCCGTGTGCCACCCGGACACCGCCTGCCACCCCGAGGACGGCACCTGCCCACACTGCCCGCCCGGCTACACGGGGCCCAGGTGGGTGGGTGGGTGGGTGAGTGGGTGGGTGAGTGATTGAGTGAGTCAGTGGGTGGGTGAGTGAGTGAGTGGGTGGGTGGGTGGGTGAGTGAGTGAGTCAGTGGGTGGGTGAGTGAGTGGGTGGGTGGGTGAGTGGATGTATGGATGGATGGGTGGGTGAGTGGGTTGGTGGGTGGGTGAGTCGATGGTTGAGTGAGTGGATTGGTAAATTATTGAATGAATGGGTGGATGGATGGATGGGTGGATGGTTGAGTGAGTGAGTAGATGGATGGATGCATGAATGAGTGGGTGAGTGAGTGAGTGGATCGGTGAGTGAGTGGGTTGATAGATTGTTGAGTGAGTAGATGGATTGGTGGATGAGTGACTGAGTGGGTAAGTAGATGGTTGAGTGGGTGGGTGGGTGAGTGGGTGGGTGGGTAGGTGGGTGGGTGGGTGGGTGGGTGAGTGGGTGGGTGGGTGGGTGGTTTAGCGAGGGCTGCGCCCACCCCTGCCCCGTGTGCCACCCGGACACCGCCTGCCACCCCGAGGACGGCACCTGCCCACACTGCCCGCCCGGCTACACGGGGCCCAGGTGGGTGGGTGGGTGGGTGAGTGGGTGGGTGGGTGAGTGGGTGGGTGAGTGATTGAGTGAGTCAGTGGGTGGGTGAGTGAGTGAGTGGGTGGGTGGGTCGGTGAGTGAGTGAGTCAGTGGGTGGGTGAGTGAGTGGGTGGGTGGGTGAGTGGATGTATGGATGGATGGGTGGGTGAGTGGGTTGGTGGGTGGGTGAGTCGATGGTTGAGTGAGTGGATTGGTAAATTATTGAATGAATGGGTGGATGGATGGATGGGTGGATGGTTGAGTGAGTGAGTAGATGGATGGATGCATGAATGAGTGGGTGAGTGAGTGGATCGGTGAGTGAGTGAGTTGATAGATTGTTGAGTGAGTAGATGGATTGGTGGATGAGTGACTGAGTGGGTAAGTAGATGGTTGAGTGGGTGGGTGGGTGAGTGGGTGGGTGGGTAGGTGGGTGGGTGGGTGGTTTAGCGAGGGCTGCGCCCACCCCTGCCCCGTGTGCCACCCGGACACCGCCTGCCACCCCGAGGACGGCACCTGCCCTCACTGCCCGCCCGGCTACACGGGGCCCAGGTGGGTGGGTGGGTGGGTTGGTCAGTGGGCGGGTGAGTGAGTGGGTGGGTGAGTGGGCGGGTGAGTGGGTGGGTGAGTGGGTGGGTGAGTGAGTGGATGGATGGATGGGTGGGTGATTGAGTAGGTGGATGAGTGAGTGGATGGGTGAGTGGATGGATGGATGGGTGGGTGAGTGGGCGGGTGAGTGGGTGGGTGGGTGAGTGGGTGGGTGGGTGAGTGGATGGATGGGTGGGTGAGTGGGTGGGTGGGTGGGCGGGTGAGTGAGTGGGTGGGTGAGTGGGTGGGTGGGTGAGTGAGTGGATGGGTGAGTGGATGGGTGAGTGGGTGGATGGGTGAGTGGATGGATGGGTGGGTGAGTAGGTGGGTGAGTGAGTGGGTAGATGGGTGAGTGGATGGATGGATGGGTGGGTGGGTGAGTGGGTGGATGGGTGAGTGGATGGATGGATGGGTGAGTGAGTAGGTGGGTGAGTGAGTGGATGGGTGAGTGGGTAGATGGGTGAGTGGATGGATGGATGGGTGGGTGAGTGGGTGGGTGAGTGGTTGGATGGGTGAGTGAGTGGGCGGGTGAGTGAGTGGATGGGTGAGTGGATGGGTGAGTGGGTTGGTGGGTGAGTGGGTGGGTGAGTAGATGGTTGAGTGGGTGGGTGGGTGAGTGGGTGGATGGGTGAGTGAGTGAGTCAGTGGGTGGGTGGGTGGGTGAGTGAGTGAGTAGGTGGATGTATGAATGAGTGGGTGAGTGAGTGGGTGGATGAGTGAGTGGATCGGTGAGTGAGTGGGTTGGTAGATTGTTGAGTGAGTAGATGGATTGGTGGATGAGTGACTGAGTGGGTAAGTAGATGGTTGAGTGGGTGGGTGGGTGGGTGAGTGAGTAGGTGAGTGGGTGGGTGAGTGAGTGGATGGGTGAGTGGATGGATGGGTAGGTGGGTGGGTGGGTGGCTGGTTTGGCGAGGGCTGCGCCCACCTCTGCCCCGTGTGCCACCCGGACACCGCCTGCCACCCCGAGGACGGCACCTGCCCACACTGCCCGCCCGGCTACACGGGGCCCAGGTGGGTGGGTGGGTGAGTGGGTGGGTGAGTGGGTGGGTGAGTGGGTGGGTGAGTGGGTGGGTGGGTGAGTGAGTGGGTGGGTGGGTGAGTGGGTGGGTGAGTGGGTGGGTGGGTGGGTGAGTAGATGTTGAGTGGGCGGGTGGGTGAGTGGATGGGTGAGTGGATGGGTGAGTGGATGGGTGAGTGGATGGATGGGTGGGTGAGTGGATGGATGGATGGGTGGGTGAGTGAGTGGGTGGGTGAGTGGGCAGGTGAGTGGGTGAGTGAGTGAGTCAGTGGGTGGGTGAGTGAGTGGGTGGGTGGGTGAGTGGATGTATGGATGGATGGGTGGGTGAGTGGGTTGGTGGGTGGGTGAATCGATGGTTGCGTGAGAGGATTGGTAAATTATTGAATGAATGGGTGGATTGATGGGTGGAAGGTTGAGTGAGTAGATGGATGCATGAATGAGTGAGTGAGTGGGTGGATGGGTGAGTGTGATGGATGGATGGGTGGGTGAGTCGATGGTTGAGTGAGTGGATTGGTAAATTATTGAGTGAGTGGGTGGGTGGATGGATGGGTGGATCGGTGAGTGAGTGAGTAGGTGGATGTATGAATGAGTGGGTGAGTGAGTGAGTGGGTGGATGAGTGAGTAGATCGGTGAGTGAGTGGGTTGATAGATTGTTGAGTGAGTAGATGGATTGGTGGATGAGTGACTGAGTGGGTAAGTAGATGGTTGAGTGGGTGGGTGAGTGGATGGGTGAGTGGGTGGATGGGTGAGTGGATGGATGGGTGGGTGAGTAGGTGGGTGAGTGAGTGGGTAGATGGGTGAGTGGGTGGGTGAGTGGGCGGGTGAGTGGATGGATGGTAGGGTCAGTGGGTGGATGGATGGATGGGTGAGTGGATGGATGGATGGGTGAGTGGGTGGATGGGTGAGTGGATAGATGGATGGGTGGGTGAGTGGGCGGGTGAGTGGGTGGGTGGGTGAGTGGGTGGGTGAGTGGATGGGTGAGTGGATGGATGGGTGGGTTGGTGGGTGAGTGGGTGAGTAGATGGTTGAGTGGGCGGGTGGGTGAGTGGATGGGTGAGTGGATGGGTGAGTGGATGGATGGGTGGGTGGGTGAGTGGATGAATGGATTGGTGGGTGAGTGAGTGGGTGGGTGAGTGGATGGGTGAGTGAGTGGATGGGTGAGTGGATGGGTGAGTGGGTGGATGGGTGAGTGGATGGGTGGGTGGGTGAGTGAGTAGGTGGGTGAGTGAGTGGGTAGATGGGTGAGTGGATGGATGGATGGGTGGGTGAGTGGGTGGGTGAGTGAGTGGGTGAGTGGTTGGATGGGTGAGTGAGTGGGCGGGTGAGTGAGTGGATGGGTGAGTGGATGGGTGAGTGGGTTGGTGGGTGAGTGGGTGGGTGAGTAGATGGTTGAGTGGGTGGGTGGGTGAGTGGGTGGGTGGGTGAGTGAGTGAGTCGGTGGGTGAGTGGGTGAGTCAGTGGGTGGGTGAGTGAGTGGGTGGATGAGTGGGTGGGTGAGTGAGTGGGCGGGTGAGTGGGTGAGTCAGTGGGTGGGTGAGTGAGTGGGTGGGTGAGTGGGCGGGTGAGTGGGTGAGTGGGTGAGTGGGTGGGTGGATGGATGGGTGGGTGAGTCGATGGTTGACTGAGTGGATTGGTAAATTATTGAGTGAGTGGGTGGGTGGATGGATGGATGCATGAATGAGTGGGTGAGTGAGTGAGTGAGTGGATCGGTGAGTGAGTGGGTTGATAGATTGTTGAGTGAGTAGATGGATTGGTGGATGAGTGACTGAGTGGGTAAGTAGATGGTTGAGTGGGTGGGTGGGTGGGTGAGTGGGTGGGTGGGTGGGTGGGTGGGTGAGTGGGTGGGTGGGTGGGTGAGTGGGTGGGTGGGTGGCTGGTTTAGCGAGGGCTGCGCCCACCCCTGCCCCGTGTGCCACCCGGACACCGCCTGCCACCCCGAGGACGGCACCTGCCCACACTGCCCGCCCGGCTACACGGGGCCCAGGTGGGTGGGTCGGTGGGTGGGTGGGTGAGTGGGTGGGTGGGTGGGTGAGTGAGTGGGTGGGTGTGTGAGTGGATGGATGGGTGGGTGGGTGATTGAGTAGGTGGGTGAGTGAGTGGATGGGTGAGTGGATGGATGGATGGGTGAGTGGGCGGGTGAGTGGGTGGGTGGGTGAGTGGGTGGGTGAGTGGATGGGTGAGTGGATGGATGGGTGGGTTGGTGGGTGAGTGGGTGAGTAGATGGTTGAGTGGGCGGGTGGGTGAGTGGATGGGTGAGTGGATGGGTGAGTGGATGGGTGAGTGGATGGATGGGTGGGTGAGTGGATGGATGGATTGGTGGGTGAGTGAGTGGGTGGGTGAGTGGATGGGTGAGTGAGTGGATGGGTGAGTGGATGGGTGAGTGGGTGGATGGGTGAGTGGATGGGTGGGTGGGTGAGTGAGTAGGTGGGTGAGTGAGTGGGTAGATGGGTGAGTGGATGGATGGATGGGTGGGTGAGTGGGTGGGTGAGTGAGTGGGTGAGTGGTTGGATGGGTGAGTGAGTGGGCGGGTGAGTGAGTGGATGGGTGAGTGGATGGGTGAGTGGGTTGGTGGGTGAGTGGGTGGGTGGGTGAGTGAGTGAGTCGGTGGGTGAGTGGGTGAGTCAGTGGGTGGGTGAGTGAGTGGGTGGATGAGTGGGCGGGTGAGTGAGTGGGTGGGTGAGTGGGTGAGTCAGTGGGTGGGTGAGTGAGTGGGTGGGTGAGTGGGCGGGTGAGTGGGTGAGTGGGTGAGTGGGTGGGTGGGTGGGTGGATGGGTGGGTGGGTGAGTCGATGGTTGACTGAGTGGATTGGTAAATTATTGA